TCTACAGGTTCCTTGCAGAAAAAGGGATGGAATATAAACCTAATTTATTTATAACATTTTTATGCTGCACCCATCGCCCAAGCCTCGGGGCAGCTTACAAAAGAATAAATAAACATAAACTAGAACATCATTAAAAATTTGGTGTATCTCAGCCATAAAACCAATAAATAAAAACTAACCAATTAACAATTAAAATATTTTTTAAATAAAAAGGTCTTGGCCTGGCGCCGAAAAACAAATAAGGATGGCACCAGGCAGACCTCTCTGGGAAGTGCATTCCATAGGTGGGGCGCCACTGCAGAGAAGGCCCTCCTCCGGGTGCTCACCCTCCTAATATCCTTCACAGAAGGCTCCCAGATAAGGGCCTCGTCTGCTGATCTCAGGGGGTGGGAGGGCATATATGGACGCAAGCGCTCCTTTAGATAGCCAGGTCCCAAGCCGTTGAGGGCTTTATAGGTGATAACCAACACCTTGAATTGGGTCCAGACTTCAATGGGGAGCCAGTGAAGCTGATGGAGAACTGGGGTTATATGAGAACAACGCCCAGTCCCCGTCAGCAGCCTGGCAGCTCTGTTTTGCACCAATTGAAGTATCCAGACTGTCTTCAAGGGCAGCCCCACGTAGAGCGCGTTACAGAAATCTAAATGAGAAGTTACCACTGCATGTGTCACAGTCGCCAGGCAGTTGTTTTCCAGGTAGGGATGCAGCTGATCGATCAGCCGAAGCTGAAGGAAGGCGCTCCTCGCCACCGCTGTTACCTGAGCTCCTAATGATAGCTCTGGGTCGAGGAGCACTCCCAAGCTGCAAACCCTGTCCCTAAGAGGGAGTGCAACCCCATTCAGGACAAAGTCCAGGTCCCCCATCCCGAAGCCCGATCCGCCTACCAATAGGACCTCCGTCTTGTCTGGATTGAGCTTCAGTTTATTGGCCCTCATCCAGCCCATTACCTCGGCCAGGCACTGGTTCAGTACAGCCACCGCCTCATCTGGATTAGTTGAAAATGAGAGGTAGAGCTGGGTATCATCAACGTGCTGATGATTCCACAGCCCACACCACCTAATGACTTCTCCCAGCAGTTTCATGTAGATGTTAAATAGCAAAGGGGACAAAATGGACCCCTGCGGAACTCCATGGCATAGCTGCCATGACGCAGAGCCATAGTCCCCCAGCACCACCTTCTGGAATCGGCCATTGAGATAGGAGCAGAACCACTGCAAAGCAGTGCCTCCAACTCTCAATCCCACAAGCCTATCCAGAAGGATACCATGGTCGATGGGATTGAAAGCCACTGAGAGGTCCAGGAGAACCAACAGTCTGGGTGCAGGGTGACCACCAGACACTCCCCCTGTCTCTCTCCTTGCACAGGTCATCATACAGGGTGACCAAGGCAGATTCAGTACCGTACCCAGGTCTGAAACCGGACTGAAATGGGTTCAGATAATCAGTTTCATCCAAGAGTGCTTGGAGTTGTCCCGCCGCCACCCACTCTAATACCTTGCCCAAGAACAGGATGTTGGCCGCCGGTCTATAGTTGGCAGCCATCTCTGGATCCAGGGATGCCTTCTTTAGGACTGGTCGGACTACCGTCTCCTTTAAGGGGGCAGGTACCCGGCCATCCCTTAGGAGGCATTGACCACCTCCAGGATCCAGGTCCCAATCCCGTCTTTGGATTTCTTGAGTAGCCAAGATGGGCAAGGGTCCAGTAAGCAGGTGGTAGGACATACTTGTCCAAGCATCTTGTCCACATCATCAGGCCGCAGCAACTGAAACTCATCCACCAATTGTGGACCAGACAGTAGCGCTGGCACCTCCCCAGCAGAATCTGATTCACGAGTAGAGTCCAGCGCATGACGAATCTGAGCGATTTTCTCCCTGAAAGGCTTGGCAAAAATGTCACAGCAGGCCTTCGAGGGTGGCACGAGATCTTTCTTTGGTATCACCTGAAAGAGCTTCACCGGATGGCATTGTGAGGAGACAATGGACGCAGAGAAGAATTTATTCTTTGCCGCCCTCACCGCCACAGCATAGGCCTGATAATGGGCTCTCAAGTGTGTTCGGTCAGATTCATCCTGTGATTTCCTCCACCTATGCTCTAGATGTCTCCCAACTTGCTTCATCGCCCGTAATTCCAGTGTATACCAAGGGGATGAATGGGCTCTGCCAGGTGGGAGAGGACGCTTAGGAGAGATCGTGTCAATAGCCCTGGTCATTTCCCCATATAATAGATAAAAGGTCTCCTAGTACTACCAGTCAAAAGGCATCCTGCAGCTATTGCATCTTTTCCTTCTAAATGGATTTTGGAGGAAAGAAAATAAAAATTTCCAAACAAATCAGATAAGTCCTCAGTTTAGATTTATGGTTCCTTTTGGCTGATTTTGTTTTTTACTTGCTAAGTACTATTCCATCTGTCATTAAAAGTTCTTGAATTGTAACATGCAAGGGCCAAGTAATTTTCAACAAGACTCTCCAGTGCTTATTAAATGAGTTCATTAAGTGGCTGTTGTTTATACAAACTTAAACTATTTTAAAGAGAAAATCTCATGAGTGAAACATTCCATTATGAGGTTATTTGTGTCTGGGAGATGGTTCTCTGTGAAAGAAGTACATCTGGGAAATTCTGAGATGTTTTTAACTCTTTGGAAGCTTATTACCTGAAATATCCAGTGATATTTACTCTCTGCAGACGTAAGTTTGTTTGTGCTTGCTTTGATTAGATTACCTGTTGGTTTTTTTTTCCAGAGCATAATTATCCTAACTGTTGGTTTTCAGATAATGAGATATATCACTCAGACACCAAAAGAGATGCAAATCCAATTTATCACATTGTGTATGGAATGCCACGTTGCTGTCAATTTCTGATTACTGATTAAAAGGAGTCTTGCAATATGTGCTAATGGAACAAATTAGAACAAATCTCTTCTCCTCTCCTCTCCTCTCCTCTTAGTAATCCCTAGATATGCACAGCCAAATGGTAGAATCTAGAAATGTTGCTTAAATTTGGAAGCCATAACTTGGAAATTCACTAAGGATGCAATCTTATGTGTGTTTAGAGAGAGAAAAGTCCTTCAACACATGCGCGCATGGACAGAGTGCAAGGCAAGGGGGCCAGTCTGCAGATTCGGAGGAGAGGCAGTTCAGGACCTTGGACAGCACCACAGCAACCGGCATAGAAATTCTTGCATCAGGTTCAGGACCAAGGCTAGCAATCTGAACTACAGTGGTACCTCTGCTCACGAACTCCTTGGCTCACAAACAAAAATTTCATGAAAATTTTGACTTGGGTCACGAACTCTGCTTTGGGTGGCGACCAAGATCGCAGCCATCTCCCCACCCCCCGAGTGGGGAGATGGCCAGGATAGCAGTTGCATTCATGCAGGGAAGATGTGCGTGATCACAGCTGTGCTATGCTGTGCCCGTCTTTCCTGAGGGGGGGGTGGGGAGATGGCCGCGATTGTGCTGGTTGTGGGGGGAGATGGCCGAGATTGCACCCCTTTTTCCTGCAGGAGCACGCCCATGCCAGGGTTTCTTTGAGAAGCACCACCCCAACATAAATGTAACGAACAGAGTGTTGAATCTGATGAACGATAACGTGGCCTCTCATTTCCGGAGAGTTTTGCAGTGCAGGAAAAAAACAAGTGACTATAGACAGATTTTTCACCAAAATTGACCCTGCAGCCAAGAGACAAAGAAGAGAGGAAAGCCCTGAAAGGGATCTCCCCATGGAGAGTCCTTATGGAAGGGGACTCTCCCTCAAAACACTAATCTCCCCCCGCCACCTAGGTTAGTGTTCTCCACTGTACTGTACAGTACTTTGTGACTTTGTTGTTCTTTGTCACTTTGCTTCAAAATTTCTGATAAAAAAAAATAGTTACACAACAGATTGACCTTATTTACATTGAACCTTATGGGGAAATGTGACTTGGCTCATGACCAAAAATTGGCTCACAGCCAGAGTCGTGGAATGGATTAAGTTTGTGAGCCAAGGTACCACTGTATAAGACAGGAATGCTGTCCCTCCAGATGTGCTTGGACTGCAACTCCCATCAACCCCAAGCAGCATGGCCAATGGTTGGGGATGATGGGAGTTGCCATCCAACAGTACCTGGGGAGCCCCATGTCCCCCACACCCTGAGCCAAGGTAAGAGACAAGGCAGCTGAACACGGGCCTAGAGCAACGGCCAGGGATTTATAGCCTGGCGCGGTGCATCGTTCTGGGAGCCCTGCCCCCCGCAAGCTGCCCTGGGCTTTCTTAAAGAGCACGGCCTTTTTCTGCTGCTCCTGGCTTCCTTTGGGGAGTGAGAATCTGAGGAGTGGGGATCATGGAACAGAAGACAAACCTTGGCTATTTACTAGCTGCCCAGTAGCTGCCCTTCAGAATTTTCTCCACCCCACCCCTCAGCATTAGAGAGATCAGTTATTTTCTGCTGATTTGACTGTCACTCCTGAAGAGGGTGGATGGAGCTTCATCTGGTGTCCTCACTTTGACCTTTTTGCCTTGGGTGACCCTGCCAGGAGAGACTGGCTTCCTGGAAGCATTGCTCATGGCTTGTCGGAAACTCCCAAACCCCCTCAGTATGTTAACATGCGCATCCAACTGGAGTTAGAAATGACTTGATGAAACAAAATCAGCAAACTCCCATAACAAACATGGGTCCCTGTTTTCCAGATCCAGTTCCAGCAAAGACTCATTCCAGCCATCTCTACCCATCACATGTGCCTCCTTGGACCATCCTAACACCCATCAAAATATCACTGGCTATTGGTCATCTTTTGTGATGCAATGCCACTTAACCTCAGCAAAGATCTCTGTACTTACTGAAATGCTAGAGAGCAAAAGGACAGAGCTGGAAAGGATCTTGTGGGACCACTAAGACCACCGCCCCACCTGGCAACACTCGCTTCTCCTTTGCCGCTTCCTTCATCCCTGCCTTCTGCCCACTGGCTTGGCTCCATTTCTAATTCTTTCCTTTGCATGTTCAGGAGAACCTGAAACGGGCAAGATGAATGGAAAGTCATGGAATGAGTTCATCCCGCTGGGACTTCTGAACCACATGAGGACACACACCTTTTTCTTCGGTGTCATTGTGCTCGCCTTCCTTATTGTTTTGTCTGGAAACTGCCTTTTCCTTTTTGCGATCCAGATGGGTTCTAATTTTCACATCCCCATGTACTTTTTTCTCAGCCAGCTTTCGTTCATGGACATTTGTCAAATATCCAGCATCATTCCCAAAATGTCGGTGGATTTCTTAATGAAAAATGGCAGGATTACACTGGCAGGGTGTGGGACTCAGATTTTTTTCACAGTGACCATGGGAGGAGCAGAGAGCCTCCTGCTGACCGTCATGGCCTGGGACAGGTTTGTGGCCATTTGCAAGCCTTTGCAATATCCGCTCCTCATGAGCAGGAGGACCTGCCTGGTGCTGTCAGGAGGAGTGTGGCTCAGTGCTTCTTTCCATGCGTCAATGCACACCATTTACATGCTCCAACTACCCTTCTGTGAGTCAAACAGGATCGATCAGTTCTTCTGCACCATCCTTGCTCTGCTGAACCTGTCCTGCTCTGACGTATCCGCATACCAAACGGGAATGTTTTTTGGTGGCGTTGTAATGCTCTTCAGTCCACTCTCCATCATCCTGGCCTCCTACATGTCCAGCCTTTTTACCGTCCTGGGAATGCAGTCTGTGGAAGGAAGGCACAAGGCATGGGGAACGTGCCTGTCCCACCTCTGTGTGGTAGCGATCTTCTATGGGGCAGCCAGTTTTCAGTATATGAGACCCAGATCTTACCGAACGCCGCAACAGGATAAGATGGTCTCCGTGTGCTGCAGCATTGTGCTCCCCGTGCTGAACCCCCTCATATATAGCCTGAGGAACTGAGAGGTGCTGGGAGTCCTGAGGAAGCAGACTGGGAGATGTGCATGGAAGAAATAATGCGCACAGCCCCAGAGTGCCCAGGGTGCCATGTCCTGCCTGGAGAAACTCCTCAGGTGAAAAAAGCCAGGGCAGCGAGCTCCAGCCACTACCAGGTGCAGGAGACCCTCCTCCAGGAGAGGATGAGGAGCCAGGGCCCTCATGGGCAGCCCCTGTGGTTCCCCAAGGGCTGGAGCCGGAGGCAGAGCAAATCCACCCTGCAGAAAGGAGGCGGAGCACCTGGCTGTGGCTTCAATTGGATCCAGGCGGTCTGAAAGGGGAGGTTTCCATGAGGCAGCACGCTGGCTCAGCTAGCCGGCTGCGCTGAGTTGCAGCGGGCTATAGATTAGTTCAGGCAGAGCTGCTCTGTGTTGCAAACAAGCGGCATTATCTTTCATCCGGAACTTTGTTGGTATAAACTGGTATCTAGACTCCTGGCCTGTTTATTGGACATTCTTTCGGACACCTCCATCGGACTTGGGGTTTTGGACATGCACTAACCATACGGCCTTGGCTGAAACTGGCAATTCTTGAGAAGGTAATGAGGAGTCTAGGCTTCTGTGCACCAGGGCAGGACACAGGACCACACCAAAGCCAGATGGAGGGGACCATTCGTGAGCATAGGACGTGCTTCGTGTGGCGAAAAGAAAGCCATGCATGAGGCCGAGAAAAAGCACATGAGACAACAGAAGAATTAAAGTAAAAGAGAGAAGCGAACACTGTTAGTAGAAAAGCTCTCTCTCTCAGTCTCTCTCTCAAAATCCCTGAGGACACCTGCCTGTTTGGGCTGTATGCTAATCAAACAAATAAACAAACGAACACGTGTGGTACAACATCACTGCTTCATAGAACCTGTGTTTATTTAAACATTGCAAGTATTTAATTAATCAGGCACCACCGTTACATGTACTGACTTCTTCCTTATTGTCTGATGGACTTGTACTCATCTGTTGTTTTATCTATATGTCCGGGTTGCTCTTGCCCCATCGCTCAGATCTAGCAACACCTCTGGGAGCCCGGATCACTGCCAGCCTAATGTAGTCCCATGTCCTGCTTTCACAGGAGCCAACCAGGGGCCCATTCAGAGCCCACAACAGGACAGGGTGCAGTTGGTGTCTCCTGCTCACAATCCCCAGCATACTGCCTCTGATAGTGGAGGTACAGGTCTGCCAGGGCCTGAACATGGAGAAGGTGCTTGGGGTCTCACTGCCCAGGAGGGCTTCCCAGTGAAGTGGCAACAGGTAGTGGTGGCACCCGCAAAGGGAAGTGCTTTGGAAGTGGCTGGCCCGTTGAAGCTGAAGCTGCGCAAGCGGCATCCCTCTTCCACGCCATGTGCTGCTGCCTCCGAGGAGGAAGAAGGCTGCCGGTTGCAAACTTTTGTGAACTTGGCAGGACAGAAAGTCCACACATTCCGATGAGTTTCGTCCTAACCTTGAGAGAGCTTTCAACTCTAAGGTTCTTTCTCGGGGACTTTCCGCTGCCCTATCAGTGCAGCTTTTCAAACTTTATCTTCCCCTGTAAAGCCCCCAGTCAGTACCAATTTCCCAGGACATTTCAGAACATTGTGAAGCTTTCTCTTTTGTGATCTCAGTCAATTATCTCTCTGCCTGCCTAATTTTCAGAGCTAGATTTGTAGGCTTGTTTCTTTGTAACTTCTGCTTGTCTGTTTACCCTCCTGTGATTTCTTATCCAAGGCACCAGCCAGGGCCACAGCTGCTTAGCTTCAATAATGACGTAACATCAGGTGGTACCTAATTTGGAGTCAGTCTGGAGCCAAATTAACCTCTCGCTGTTTAAGTTCTGCCCTGAAGTTAAGTTCTGCACCTGTTGTGAATATTACTTGCTGCCTTTATAGCAGATTTCATGGCGTTGTCGATCCAGGCATGAGGGTGAGCGGTGTGCTCTCCTGCGAAATAGACCCGCCCTTCATTCTGGGCCAGCGCCTCTGAAAAGTGAGTGAACTGGTACGGGGTGAAGATGCTGTACGCCCCCATTGCGTGCTGGTCTAGGGCCCACCTCTGCAGCACGTGCTGGCCGCAGACAGATCGCAGATAAGCTTTAGACACTTGGTGGAGCTCTGCTAGGTCACCCATCACCACATCGATGCACTTTTCCTCAGTGAGCGGAACATAGAAATCGGCATCACTGTTCCAAGTGTAGGAAACCAGGAGCACCGCTGTCCCATTGGGGAAGTCATGGTTGGGGTAGTAAATGTTGCGGGATGGGTGATCCGTGATGGACTTCCCGCCTCGGATCCCGTCTTTCTCCCAGAATTTCTCAGTGCAAACCAAGGCGATTTTGGTCGCGCTCGCATAGTTCAAGGAGCGCAAAGCGTGCGCCTTGGAAGTGGAAAGAGGCGGCACGAATTCGATGAGTCGCGTGGCTCTGGCTGTCGCCGTGATGAGGACGTAGTCAGCAGTCAAGGCTGAAAGTGCTGGTCTGGGTGGTCCGTGGTAAAGGACCTTCACTTTTTTGCCCAGGCGGAGAAGCTTCTTCACTGTGCAATTGAAGCGAACTATCCCAGGCAATTCGCGGAAGAACCCCTGAGGGAGTTGATCAAATCCACCAGTAATTTCTTCAAAACTGAACATGGGAGGAAGGAAGGGGATCCAAGGACAGTGCCATTTACTGTGGCTTAGTGAGCACAGACTAAGCAAAGCAGTGCTAAGTGCCCTGAGGCCCTTAAGCATGCAACGCGTTGGGTTGGATCCAGCCCTGTCGTACTTAGAACAGGCCCACTGAAATCACTGGAGTGCATCATGGCAATTCAAACCCCATTGATTCCCGTGGGCTTACTCTGAGAATGACGAAGGGTGCGATTCGATGCATGTGTGGGCAGAGAAAAGTCCTAAAACTCCCAGGACAAGGCCCCTTTGCATCTGAGCATGCATAGGATTGGGCCCTAAGACTGGAATCCACCCAACATCTACTATTGAGTTAATCAACTTGAAATCAAACCATAGCAAAGTACATTCTGAGAGGGGCGTGCGGCTCTCTTTCACGGTTACTGGTTAAATGGCAAGCTTGGCCTGTGAAGAGTAGAAAGGAATGAGGCAGAGTGGCTCTTCCAGCTGTCAGAAATGGCTGGGGAGAAGATACGTCTTGATAAGCACTGGTGGCTGGTAGCTGCTCTCTCTGGCACACTGCAGAGGCTCAGCTGGGCTAGACATAAAGCCACCTGGGCATCTGAGCATACGGAGCTGAGGAGAAAGCCATGCTGAGCCTTTGCATGCCAAAGTCGTCATCCTCTGGCTGTGAGGAGGAGTGCCAAGGGCACTCTGCTCAGGCACGGACCGATGCTGGTCTACAAAGAGATTGGACCTGTCTTGGTGCCTTTCAGATTCCCCGTGCTCCATGTGTGGAGGGCAACTTTAAGCACACCTGTCTGCAAAAGCAAACAAATGAAAAAGCCCAATCCTGGCAGGACTCCAAGACTCCCTTCTTACAAGGAGACTGACCTTCAAACTTCCTACCCCTCTGAGAAGTGCACAGCCCAGTTCTCCAAGCGATGAATGATTACAAGAGCACAGAGAAGAGCCTTCTTTCTAGTCCAGGCAGCATTTGCTTGCCACAGATGCTCCAGCGGAAGCCCCCCCACAGGAAGCGAGGGCAGCAGTGCTCCCTTGGCCATGCTCCCCAGCCATTGGTACTCAGACATAGTCACCATGACGCATATCCATCACCGAGCTTTAGTGATCTCCTTTGGAATGAGGTCATTGCATTTTATCATACTTGTGTTCATTTACTTGGTGTTCTGGGACCATGACTCATAGAGCTGGAAGGGATCCAGCAAGATCGTTGAACTATTTTGCACGAAACAGCAGCAAATTTGGGGTTAATTAATGGCTGTTTTCAATCCTCAACCCCAATTGGGCTGATGTGGGGTTGCTGTATGACATCCAACCCCCAGACACTATAAGTTGATCATGGGTTAAATGACTCACCAGTAACCCAGAATTAGTAGCCATGTTAACTATAGGCTCTTTATCCACGATTAACCTACAGGGTCCAGTTCTGGATGGCACATAGCAACGCTTGAGCAGCCTAATGGGAGATTGACTGAGTCCAGCAGGATACGAATGAAGAATCCAAGAACGTCTGGGGGAATAACAACAAGGGCTTCCACAGGCATACAGTGGTTCCTTTTCATGCCTTCTCACTGGCCTTCTTCCATACACGGGTTGTCCCCTCTTCTTTCCCTTGCAGAATGTGCTCGCCCAGCATCACCATTACCCCAACGAGTCCTCCCCCAGTCTCATAATCATTTCTACCAGCGTTTCCCAGGTAACTTGCTAGTGTTATGTCTGTAACCAAAACAATGGGCTTTGAAGTAGCAGAGATCACTGAAATCACAGGAAGAGGAGAGTGCTCTGTGGAGCTCCAGTTCATACGTGTCATTTCCTAATACAGCCCTGACCCTGCAGAAGGTCAGGAAGTTGTACAGGGTGCAATTCCACATGCCTGCATATGAGAAATGGCCCTGTGGAATGAACTCAAGCCAGTGGAGCAGGAAAGGAGCACAGCAGGGCTGTTCTGTAGCAGCCCTGAGGGTTTGGCCTGTGCTCCCGGTGCTCGCAGGTACTGTCACCCTCTCCACACTTGTGATCCAGAAGGCACGAAAGCTTCCCTTCTCCTTCCAGCAGGTCCTTCAGAGGCTCAAGGGCTAAGCTAGGGCACCTGCTGCTAGTTCTACTGCTTCTCTTCTACTTCCTTGTCCCACTTGCAACCTGGAATGTCTCAGAACTCAAAACTCAGGTTACTCCTGCTGATGGAACCGGAAGCGGAGGAAGTATTCCCTGGTTCCCCCTTATCCACAGCCCCTTGTGGGCTGGTGGTGTGCTGCTCCCCTCTGGAGCAGCCTGAACGGGAACCCTGGAGGCTGTGGAGGATGAGGAAATGGGCAAGGATCATTCCCTTCCCCTGTCCACCAGCCAGGAGGGCTGGATTGGAAGCCCATCCTCCAGCAGGTAGGAGAGCCTTCCATTGGCAGAGGAGCAGCTCAGAATCCAAGCCATGGTTTGTCAGGTATCTGACTTACAATCAGAGCACAGTGTTAAATAACAAATACATACAGAAGTTGATTTTGAGCCACACACACACACACACTTCACCTGTTTTTAGAGTAGACCAGGTAATCCATGACAGAGTTCAGGAATGACAGATGGAACCCAGCGTCTTCATTCAGGAGGTCACCAATCATATCGACAGCTCCTTTGCTCAGGTGTCCTTCCTTAAGTAGGTATTCCTAGTGCGTGGGGGAAGGGGAGTGAGGGAGGAGGGAAGATGCTGGAAGCCTTTTAACATTTTCAATTCGCTCCTTTCCAATGAAGACAACCTGAGGTTTCATTGCTGTAATGGGGGATTTTCCCCCGGTAGCGTATCCCTCCATAAAAAGGATTTTCCCGAGGACCTCACAGCACGGAAAAGGGAGGAATAGACTTTCTTTCCACAGAAACTGGCTGTCTGATAGGCAACATGTCTGCTAGGAGGTACCAGATGCCAGGAGATGCTACAAGACAGGATGGTGGGTGGAGTGGGCAGGCCCCCCCCCCCAGCTCTCCAAGGGACTGGGCCACACTGTCTCATCATCACTGTTGGAAGCTGTAACAGCCAATCCAGCCTTTGCGACCCCAACCCCAGCCTTTGTCCTTTGCCTCAGGAAGTAAAATGTCCTGGGTTGACCCTACTTCTCCATGCCTGCTCTGATCCCATTGAGCCAATGCAATTTACATTTTTAAAAACTATTAGATGCAAAAATAAAAAAATTCTCAGCCTCATCCACTTTATTATTCCTGATATATTTATAGTTGTTCTTAATATTTTTATTTATCTGCTGTTTTTACTGTTGAGAACTGCCTTATTTTGGAGTGGGGGCTACAAGAAGGAGAATTTATTTTATTTAAAGAAAGTTTGTGAGATTTTTCAGTATATGTGAGAGCTAAGCGGGTGAAAATATCTCCCTTACCTTAGTGGAGAATGAGTCGTATTTCTCTTTCAGGAGTGTACAGTTTGTTATAACCTGTGCAGGAGGAACCAGACAGATGGATGAGGGGAACAGAAAGTTGAACATCTGTAATTATACCAATGATATTGCTTGTTCTAGTGTAAGGTAAGTCAACATGATTATCTCCAACATTACAACTGCACTTCTGAGGCTGATGGTGAATGTCCTGCAAGGGCACTCAAGATATAATCCTATGCCTGTTTAGACAAAAAAAAAAAGGTCTACAACTCCCAGTACGCTGCAGCCTTTTTTCTGTCTGATGTGCATTGGATTGCACCTGCCATGACTGTATCTCAGGCCCTCAGCTGCAATTCCACTACATAAGACCTGTGTACGTTTGCTTACTCGGTTTCTTCTTTACCAGATATGTACAGCTCATACCTTATCCAGCGTCTCTTGAAAAAGCTCGTCAGCAGTTTTCCCTCGTTCCCTGGGATGAACGGGGTACCCGAAGATTCCAGGGTTTGCGTTGACATGTGCCATGCTGTGTCGGACATTTCTAATTAAATACCAGGCATTTTTGTCAATTTGAGTGAATGGATTTAGACTGAGATTGAATTTGCCAAGGAACTCACGGATAATTCTGAAAGGCAGAGAGGAGGGAGAGAAAATTAAGAACAACAAATTCTGTTTTTTCAAGAAGGGAATTAAAGCCCTACTGGTTTAGGCCTATGAAGTCCAGCATCCTGTCTCTCACAATGACCTGCAGTCATTTCCTGGGAATCCCACAGGCAGGACATGGAAGAAATTTGTCGTAGCCATGGATAGATTACCTTCCATGATTTTGTCAAATCCCCTTGCAAAGATATCCAGAAGAAGCAATCTTGTGGTCTCCACACAACATCTCAGGGCTACAGATTTCTTCTAAAAAGAAGCCCTCCTGCTTCCACCCAGCCACCACAATGGGTTCTGCAGGAGCCCCTCAGAGGGGTCAGAGAGGGAATGGGCATTTCTGGGGTGTGCTGATGGACAGGAAGGGAGTGGCAGAGGGTGCAAGGAATCCTAAGCAGTCCCAGCTCAGGACAACATCTCTGCCCCCAGGAAACAGCTCAGCATGCTCAAAGATGTTTCCTCCTCGTTGTGAGCAATGTGAAGGGATGAGTTTTACTCTGTCCCCAAATAGAAGAAAAATATTCAGAAGCTCCACACAGGAAGCATGACGTATAAGCGACACCCTCTTTCCCTCTCTGAAGCAGGTGCTTTGGGTGATTGACAGCCACAATAAGCCCCTCCCAAAAAAGGAATAGAAAAACTAGGCGCTCTGCCACAATACCCACCCCATCATCAAGGGAGGCCAGACTCATGCGCTGCCCTAAGCACACGCCCACTGGAACAGCAGCATTTTCGGTTGCCATGGAAAAGGCCAGGACCTGAAGCACCATGGGAAGGCCCCTTCCATGTCCACAGCCAACTGCCTCCCCACTGGGTCCCGAATAGAGGTGGGATGTGGAGCGACACTTCCCCCTGTTACCAAGGCAGATAGGGAGACTTGCATGGGCAGACCTGGTGGGTTAGATAAATATCCTGGCCCTAAAATATTTGGGCTTTGGAGGATTAAAGCAACACTTTGAAATAGGTCTGTCAACAAATTGGGAGCCAATGCAATTGTACAAAATTTCACTGAAACAACAATGGAATTCTTTTGCTTTAAATGAATGTTTTGGCATGCTTTTCAAGCACAAGTCACATTACAGAGCACATATATTATTTTTTTGTCTCTACAAAAGTTTATTTGACCAACTTGCGATTCAAAATCCCATGGAGAATTTAACTGGCTTCATTTGTTAAACTAGTTTGCATACTGCAGTCTTCCTTGAAGTTCAAGAAAAAAAGTTGACTACTTTGGAGAATCCATGAAATGGGGAGATCCCTTTATGCAAACTTTACCTGTGAGTTTTGGGCAAACGCATAGGCCCCAAGTCCATATACCAGTCTTTCTCTCGGTGTGTCTTTATCCGCCCTCCCACACGATCACTGGCTTCCAGAATCACAACCTAGTGGGAAAAAGCCATGGATTGAAAGTGGACACTTACATGTTCCTAAAAGAAGAAAAGTCTCACCAAAAGAAGAAATGCAGCATTGCATAAAACGTTTGTGTGTTGATGCAGAAGTTCAAAGCATCTCACCATTGTAGAGAAGACTGTGACCGTGTGTTCAGTGTACCTGCTTAGCCCAATGCCCAGATGCTAAGTATAAATGGGCAACCTCAGGGCCCCTCCTTATGTTTTCTTTCCTCTTTAAACTGGACTTGAAATGGGCAGCTCTTCACGTAGGTGGTGCCTTCAGAGGATTGCCCTGTGACAGCCCATGTGCCCCACTCTAAAAAGCAAGATGCATGGCCACCGCGTAGGAGAATCGGTTATCCCTTCTCTAGCTCTTTCTTCTTTGCACCTTGCAAACTTCACCTCCTTTGATTCTAGCCCCACCTAGTTTTGGTTCCTGAAATGAGAATGAGAGGCATGTAATGCTTGCATTGCAGCATAATGCAAAAGAGAGGCTTGCGTTAGGTATACAATTCCCAAACGTCCACTTTCCTCAAACAGGAGTGGCCCATTTTGGGGCCTCAGGGGAAGGACAAGATGACACACACCACGCTGCATGCACGATCGCTGACAAAACTGGAACCTTTTTTTTCTTATACCCTTCCTCTTTCTGTATGTTATCTATTTTAAGAAAGCAATATATTTTTAAAAGAAACTGTGCTGCCACTGAGCACTGATTCAGAAGGACGGGGACAGGCAGGGGTTGGGGGAACAGCTCCTGGGGGCACCCCCAGCCGGGGGAAGCCACCTCACTCTGCTTAATAAGGCCACCCCATTGCTGGTTCCTCTCTTAGAGCAGCTGACTTCAAAATACCTCAGCCTGCCCATTCGGCTGCCTGCCTGCCTAACCATCCAGCTGGCCATCCATCCATTGATCTGGTTTGCTTTGGATTACATCCTTCTGTACTTCCGCAGTGAAAAGCAGTGGTTTACAACAGATGTTGTGAACGTGCTGTGCCCCAGGAGCTCACAGCCTGAGGAAATCAGGCTCTCCCCAGGCTGCTGCCAGTGTTTGCAAACCAAGGGGTTTGGCAACAGATTGCTGGCTTTTGTATTCCTTATACAGATCGAACCGGTCAGTCCTAGAGGAGACCAACCCTGACTGCTCTTTAGAAGGCCAGGTACTGAAGATGAAACTCAAGTACTTTGGCCACCTAATGAGAAGGAAGGACTCCCTGGAGAAGAGCCTGATGCTGGGAACAGTTGACAGCAAAAGATGGGGACGGCAGAGGATGAGGTGGCTGGATGGAGCCACTGAAGCAGCCAGCGTGAGCTTAGCTGGACTCCGGGGTATGCGGAGGAGAGGAGAGCCTGGAGGAATGTTGTCCATGGGGTCGTGATGGGTTGGACATCACTTTGCCACGAACAACAACAACAACTCCTTATACAAGGCTTAAGAATTTTCAGGAAACACTTTAACACACACACAGGGAGAAAGAAGAAGCAGGGGGGAGAGAGAGATTGATTAAAGAGCACTTGTTTTTCCTGAGTTGGTACAATTACCCGATGTCCAGCGTCCTTCAATAATTTGGCAGCCAGGAGACCGCTAATCCCTGCCCCCACAATCGCAACGGTCTTTGCTTTTGAGGCTGTTCCCAGCCCGTGTCTGGCAATGTCCAACCATTTTTCATATTCGGGATCTTGGAAACACTCTTCTAGGTTGTCAATGCCATTTCCAGAGGTCAGTTCAGTCGCAACCAGAAAGAGCTGAAGCAACACTAGAAGGAAACAAGGAGGAAATTGGGATTACAGGATTTCACCAGCCCTGTGATATTTCCTGCCAGCTCCATTATTATTCTGCCACCCCAATATCCCTTCTGCACGTCCTGTAACGGCATTTGGGGGTGTCTGCATGTAGATAAAGGGTGATGGAGAGGAAGCAGCCTGCAACAGCAGCCCCCACATGCTGTGCGTTGTTTCTCCTCAGAGTTGCAGCCCCTCCATGCCGTCCTCTCCCCAGCTGGTTTTCTGCCCCTACCCCACAGCAGCTCAAACCCCATTGACTGGAATTGGGGTGGATGGAAGAGGGTTATGGTTTGGGGTTGCACCCATTCTGTCTTATATTTAGAATCTTGGATTTCTTCACTGATGCCTATGGGCAACTCTTGCTTACATGCTGGGGACATTTTAAAAGAGCTTCTAAGTGTGGACCAGTAAATGTCCAATCCAAAGAACGAGCAGGTGCCTTCTACCCCTTTTACATCTATGTCTCTCTCTCTTCCTCTCAATGCTTTGTAGCCACTTTGATCCACTGGTTTCTCCACTTCTTCACTCATTCAGCCGGTCAGCATTCCAGGCCTTTATGGGGCTGCTCAGGGAGTGGATTTCCCCTTCGGCTTTTTATAATAGAGGTTTCAGAGTTATTTGCAAACTTTAGGATTACCCCAAGCCTGTTGAGAATGCCTTGACTGGCAACCATTTTCACCACATTTCCGTGAGCATGGAATTAAAAATAGAGGAACAATGTGGAAGCACTCAAATAATAACATTCAAAACCATAAAACCAAACCAAACCTTCTCTATTTTCCAAATGGTTTAAACTTGGTGCCCCACAAGGTTTTCTCTTATCCACTTGCCATGCTCGTGAAAGCCATCACCTTGATGGTTTTCTAGCAGGGAAGGCGGAATATAGATGAAGCTGCCAAGAAATCCTCTGGGGATTTGGGCTGGGTGTCATCTTTGCGCCTTATTTCCCTTTGTCATCCGATAAGGAGAAGCTGTGCCAGCTTCTTCACGACCAGGCCCCCATGGAGGTTGTAGTGCTTACCTGTAAAGTCATCCACAGTTCAGGCCCAAATATCTGAAGGAGTGCCACTGAGACCATGGGAAATGGAGAACAGAGCATGTTCTATGGGGGTGGCAGATGATGATGATGAATTGGAACACTGATTCCCCCCCCCCCCCGCCACAAGGTCATAGCAACGCCTACAGCATAGGAGGGGGATTCTGAAGAATCCTATGGTCCCTGGAAGAAGCAAGCATTTCCTCAAAGCCTATGTTGCATTTACAGCCCCGAGGAAAGCCTTGCTCATTCATTTATTCCAAGTCACACCTTTGGTCTGTCTCATCTGTTCTGACCACAGAGCATCTCAAGCTGATGTCTTGCCCAGCTGGGCTCTCCGCAAGCCTTGGGATTAAACATTCAGCTTTCTACCTGCACCATGTCACTAAACAAACTATTTTAAGTTCATCATTACATCTCAGAAGAAAAGCAAATACTCACGGAGCCAGTCCATCCGTCAAAGAGCAGTTGCAGGCAGTGAATGAACTCTCCTGCTGAAAGAGACCAAATGCTGTGCTGTTGCTGAGAGGGAAAGCAGCATCTCAGAAAACTGGTTTTGACACCTGAAAAATTTCCATTGGCCAACATTGGGCAATTATCCCAGGAGAGGAAACTGTGATTAATACAATAACTGTGTGGGTTGCACATATTCTTCAGTTCAGTACCATGCCACGTCTTCAGACGATGTCATTTGATGAGCATGTTAATACTGTGCCTACAAATGCAAACACAGTTATGCTTGCAAGGTGGTGGAAAAGACAATCTGGTCCATTCTATAAAGGTCTGCTTTAAGGATATGCAATACTTCTAAGCAGTGCTTTTTTTGTCATAGAACGCACCGGAACCGAGTTCCGGCACCTTTTTTCGACAGATTTTCCAAGTTTTAAAAGTAACTTTTGAAAATTTGATATTTGGTCCACATGGATTTGAATCACCCTGTTGAGCGTAGCAGGTCGGCGGCAAAATCATTCAAGCGCTGCATGTGGGCTGCTTGTGTGTCGAGTCCGATGCATGCGTGCTTTGTCCGCGCTGGTTGTGATGGCGCTGCTCGGCTTGTGATTAGTTGTGTGGTCTTGCGCTGAGTGTTTAGTGTGGGCGACGACTGTTACGTTTCATTACACAACTGATGTGTGTGCGTGTGTACAGTGATTGACTACGTGCGAAAGGTAAATAATTTCATGAGTTCCGGCGCCATTTTTCTTACAAAAAAAGCACTGCCTCTAAGGCATTCTTTTTATTTTTAACCAAAATGTGATTTCTCTGTGGGAAAATTCACTTTCAAGCAGCCTGTGGGAAGCAGCTTTTTCCTACTTCTCTTTGCAGAAATCGCAGTAATACTGAGCAGGATGGCTAGATCTTGTATTCTTTACTTTGCCGCAAATATTTCTCTGTTTTGGAAAGCTAGCAAATGGCAGTCCTCCACAGGAAGAAGGCCTCTGCCTGAAAAGGTGTCCAGCCCATGTTTGATTCAAAGCCCAAGAAGCACAGGAAGGGAGAGCAGAGGGGCCGTGAAGTTGTCCATCAGCCATTAGCACCTGAGAGTGACTGCCCAGGCACGTGGACCACCTACCTAGCTGTGCTCACTCCTTATTTCTGTTTAAAGAATAAGTAATAGTTGTAATTTGCACCCATGCATTTAAGCCTGCATACGCAAATGTTACGCAAATGGAGTCCTCTTTTGTCCTGCTTTTGGGTGTTGCATGTCCTCTTATAAGTGGCCACCTTAAAACTGAGACTAATTAAACTAAGGCCCAACTGGGTTTACTTTAAACATATAAGAACACAAGCAAGTTCAAAGAAGATTGTCACTTGGCATCTCGCTACAGAGAAAACAAGTCTATTTCCTTTGCAGTGAATGTTCCTTTCTCCCAAGTGGAGCTCCACCATTTTGTAGCAATGGCCAAGTGGCTCAGTGGGCAAGGGCTCCTTCCCATTGTCCCCAGGATCAAGATTTGAGGCCTTCTTTCCTTGGGAAAGGCTGAACGTCAGTGGTAGAACAAATGTTTCATGTGCAGAAGGTCCCAGTTTCCATCTTTAGGCTTGTCTGATGTGGCTGGAAGAAACTACTGCCTGAAACCCCAGAACTCCACTTCTAGGAGGTGTAGATCAGAGGTCTGCAACCTGGTGTCCTCCAGATGTTTTGGACAACTCCAATCATTCCTTATCATTGGCTCTGCTGGATAGGGCTTATGGGAGTTGTAGTTCAACAACATCTGAAAGACCACATGTTTCACAATCCTGATTTATACATTACTGGCCTAGATGGACCAACAATCTGTATAGCACTTCTTGTGCGCTTCATCAAAAGACTTGGCTCAAATCCACTTCAGGTGGAGACTACCCTGAACACTTAAGGTGCAGCTGAACACTTTCTGCTTAGAAAAGTACAGCCCAGCTCTCCAAGAATACTGCACAAGTCAACAAGACTCATGATGAATAGGTTTCATTGGCTTTCTGCTCCAAGCTAAGTTTATTTATCACTGCTGCAGTCACCTCTTCTTGAAAGATCAATGTAAGGCCAAACAACTGTGTGCAATTGGAAATGGCTATTTCTTACAAAAACAGAGAGCAATCACATTTGCCATCAAGCCCATAAGGAGCTACTGTTTCCAAGCTTTTGTAAAATGGAGCCCCTCCTATATTCAAGACATGAATCACTTTATTAAAGTTGTGGCATTTTTACTTGTTAGAGGAAGGTTCATTTCTGATCACAATGGGCTTCAATTCTCTGTGCACATGTACTCCTCGTGAAGGAGTTTATATACTCCTTGCTAAAATACTCCATGTTAGAGAGGTTTTGTTTTGGTTTTTCTGTTGAGCAGGTCCATGCATTCTTCACAGAGGCCAGAATCCACATGTTTTACACTGGAGGTGAGAGGCATTTTTGATTTTTATTGCGGCTCCTTGTGTGATCAGTTTGATGTATCTGTGTTTCAGCATGGCTTCTTTAAGTATAACATTGGTCTTTAAGGATAAAGACTGTTGTATTTAGGCTGTGGGAAGGAGAAGCCATTTCAAGACAGCCTGTTTGGGATTTTAAAAAATGTTTAATTTTAAGGTTAAGTGATATTTGTTTGGTGTATAACAGAAGCGGGCAAACCGAGGCTCACAAGTCAAATGTGGCTCTGAGTTTATTTCGCACATGCAGAGCGGCTGAAATGTGTCAATACACAATTCTGCGTGGGACCAGTGAAAGAAGAGCAAACAGAAGCACCTTCCAGCAAAGCCAAATTTTAACCAGTCATGGGGGTGCTTGTGATTGGCCAATCGGGGCACCAGCTTGGGCCAATGGAAGCAAGGTGCCCATGCTGGAAGGACAAAATTGTGTGTCTTGTGTGCTGCTACCGTGGCAGTTCCTTTGATCAGTTTCACCTTTGCAGAGGCCATGATAGAAATAGTGCAGATCAGGGTAGACTGTGGTGGAACTGGCGGAGCCTATTGGAACGGCAAGGGTCTGCGTCTTAGGTGGCCACAGCGGTGGTTTGGATGCTGTCCTTTGGCTTCAGCAGAGGGTTGTTGTGAAGCTACATTTGCAGTTCACTGGTCATGTGCTAAGCTACTTAAAAAAAAAAGAAGAACAACACAACTGTAACCTGCAATTGGTAAAGAGCCTCTTCCCTTGACTTGAGGAAGGGCTTGTTGTGGATAATATCTTTGCAGCAAGTAAACTTTTGTGTCTTATCTGCAATACATCACTTGTAACAATGTTTTTTTGGTCATAGTAAATAAATATTTGTTCAAGTCTTGTGACTCTCAAACATCTGACATTTACTGTATGTGGTTTTTCTATTGAGCAAGTCTGGTCACTCCTGGCATATAATGTTGTTTTCAATTTAGGGGAATGCGTAAGTAACAAAACAGAGTAATATAGAGTTGGAAGGGACCAGAGGGCCATCGGGTCCAACCTCCTTCTCAGTGCAGAACCCCCAGTTAAACCATCTCTCAGATGGCCGTTCAAATAGCTATAGGGGCATGGATAACTGGAATAATTTTTGGCTATCACTGAAAGAAGAGAAGGATTTTGCCTTGACATCCTCAACCAGACCTAAACAAAAGGAGCAAAGAGTCGTCCTCACAAAATATGGAACTTCTTCATGCAGCGGGTGGCTTCATCCTGCAAGCCACGATGGGTTGGTTGTTGCCCGAACAGATGATCGAGCGCATGGTGGGTTGTTCCTCCCCCCTCTTAATCCTTGGCTCTCCAGAAGGGACCCCAAGGGACTTCGCAGCAGGAGCAACCTGCCTCCTCTCTCCTGCTGGAATAGAGAGCCCTTGTCATGCACCAGAGCATCATCCCCGTTGCCCTTTTATACCCTGGTCGTTACGAGCAAAGATTGACAGCCAGGGACAGCCCCTCCAACATGCCACTGTGGGGGCACGCAAAACGGGGGCTGGGGAACTCGTGTCTCCCCAGGACCACTCCATTCTGCAAAATTAGTGAGGATTATCCCCATCCCTATTTGAAGGAATGCATTTCTCTCTATGTTTCTACCTGGCCTCCAAGATCTTCCACAAAGGTCCTTCCCCAGGAGCCCCCAAGGAAGAAGGGGGGTGACAGTGAGAGGGAGGGCCTTCTCCGTGGTTGCCCCCTGCCTCTGGAACACGCTCCCCAAAGAGCTACACCTGGCACCATCGTTGTTTTCTTTTCAGCACCAGGTGAAAACCTTTTGATTGATCAGACGTTTTGAAGGATGGGTCGGTTTTAATATTGTTTTTATCTGAACTGCTATGTATTAACCATGTGTTAACATCATTCAGTCACCATGAGTTGACAAGTTTTGTGTATTTTGGTTGACTTTTAGTGTTTTGTAATGGCCTATTTTATTGTTTTTATATGTTTTGCTTGTAAACTGCCCAGAGAGCTCTGCAGGTTATGGGGGCAGTATAAAAAAATGTAATAAATAAATAAAGTAAAGGGTGCATTTAAGCTGAGCTTCCCACGCTCCCACCAGCCTCTCTTCCTACTGCATCAAGCCACCAGGACAGAAATGGTTTCTGAATGATATTTATTTACATCGATGTACTGGTAACAAAGCATCAGTGCAATTGTGTCATCGGAAAGGAACATGCAAACATATTATTTCTTTGTTTATTTTAACAAAACGAATAGCATTGTCCTTCGCTGCCAGGAAACCTCTTGTGAGCGCACCCACTGCACTATCGCTTCAGCCCAAACTATGCACTTTTTTTTAAAAGATTTTATTAAGATTTTAAACTAATACTAAAAACATTAATCATCAAATACATCAAGTACTGGGTCAGCCCCCTACTACATATCTTTTAACATTCTATAGTCATATTCAAATCGATTTATAATAACTTAAAAACATCTTTAAATCTAAGCCAAGTCCCGTTTCTCCAGCCAATCATAAAAAAAGTCCCAAGTTTGGCAGAAGTCAGTATCTTCTTTCTCCTTCAGTGATAAAGTCAATCTATCCATTTCTGCACAGTCCAGCATCTTTTTTAGAATCAGTTCATTGGTGGGTAATTCCTCCCTTTTCCAGTGTTGAGCAAATGCAATCCTCGCCGCTGTGATTACATGTAACATCAAATACATTTCTTGTTTGCTAATATCTTCCGGTATAATGCCTAACAAGAAAACTTCAGGTTTAAAAGCTAAGGGTTTTTGTAGCATTTCCTCAAGCTGTTTATGTATTTCAATCCAATACTTTTTCACATTGTCACAGGTCCACCACATATGGTAAAAAGTACCCACTTTATGTTTACGCACTTTAAAAACCAAAAAGGAGCTTGGCCAGATGCCACAGACGTTCAGCCCGGGGACGCGCAATGGCAAGGAAGCATGCTTGGTTTCCCTTCTCCCATTCGCTTTATAAGCAGATTGAAAGAAATGGATGCAATGAATCAGTGTCACAGACTTACAGCAGGTTCAAAGCAGGGTCCACAGAGGAGCTGATGCGCCTATTCCAGGAACAATCGACAACACCCAAGCCTGTTTCTGCAGCTCCTACAGGGTGGGTTTGCTGGCTCGAAGGTTAATACTACTCGCTGCCCTGATAGCAGATTTCATGGCCGTGTCAATCCAGGCATGAGGGTGGGCAGTATGTTCCCCGGCAAAATACACCCTTCCTTCATTCTGAAACAAAGTCTTGAAAAAATGACTGAACTGGTAAGGGGTGGGGGAAGCAAAGGCCCCCATTGAAAACTTGTCCAGGGCCCATTTCTGTATCACGTGCCTGGTGCAAACAGATCTGAGGTAATTTTTGCTCACTTGGTGGATTTCTGCCAGGTCATCCATCACCACATCAATGCACTTTTCGTCACTCAAAGGCACAAAAAAGTCGGCATCATCATTCCAGGTGTAAGAAACCAGGAGCACCCCCAGCCCGCTGGGGAAGTTGTGGTTTGGGTAGTAGATAATTCGGGATGGGTGGTCCGTAATTGACCTCCCACCTCGGATCCCATCCTTCTCCCAGAACCTCTCTGTGCAAACCAAGGCTATCTTGGTAGAGCTTGCGTAGTGAAAAGAGCGCAGGGCGTGGGCCTTTGAATGGGACAGAGGGGGCTGGAATTTGATGAGTCGCGTGGCTTTTGCAGTCGCTGTGACGAGGACATAGTCGGCCACCAGACTTGACAAGGCACCTTTGCCCGGCTTGCGGAAAGACACCTGCACTTTCTTGCCGAAGTGAGCAATCTTCTCAACTCTGCTATCAAAGTGGACTGTCCTGGGCATCGCCTGCAGGAAGCCCAGTGGGAGCTGGTCAAAGCCACCCGTGATTTCCTCAAAACTGAAAAGGTCAAGGCGGGTGGAGGAAAAGGAAGAGAAAAGGAGTGGAAGGGTTATCTCATGGCACAAGACACGTGACTATTCAAAGCACAAAAGCGTTGCTGCAACTGCTGTATTTCATGTCTTGCTTTAAAAACAAGATAATTTCAGTAATTCTGGTTATCAAACTATGTTAGGATACATTCAAAACAGCATGCTTGTCATATTCCATGTCAGTTTTGCCCCTCAGTATTGTGGTACTCATATTTATGTGTTTGACTACCAGGCTTTTAAAGTACTTCATTAGTGTACTTTTACCTCAGTAGAAAGCTATGCTTCTGATCTCTACACTGGCTTCTCCCATTCTCTAAATTTTGCTAGGTTTGCTCCACCTTATCTTTCTGCCTTTACCTCCTGACAATACTCTACAGCCCTTGCTTCTCCAATTCTACCAACTTCAGCTCTTCAAGCATGCTGGGAGTTGTAGGCCTTTTCCCTGTCTAAACTTGCTCAGGATCGTGTCTCTACTCTCAGACGCCTGCGATGACTAGAATGGGTGTGTGAAAGAAGGATCAATGGCAGAACTTCAAAGCTCCACTAAGTGGCTGGGCATCTCACTAGCAGATTAGGGAAAAACCAGAAATGCACGTGGAAGTGAGGGTGTTTTTCAAATTAGCTATGCTGAGCAACACGAGGAAATATCATCCCAGAAGCTTTACAACACACGTAACTCATGCCTGACCTTTCACGAATGATGGACTCCCATCTTCTGGCCCCTTCCCTGTATATAATCCCTAAAAGACCCAGACAGGGCCTGATTCACACATGCATGTTCACCACTTGATGTCTGCACTATAAATGTGCAGGTGTGGATTGAGCCATCATCATCATCAAGTCGCACCACCTCAAAACAAAGCTTTTCATTGTAATCAGTTTTCAAGTCATCAAGCACTGAGTTAATAAAAGCTGAAAAGAAGATCAACTGTTGTTCTTTCAGAGAAAATGCATTTCTCTCTGACTGTCTTGGCTAACCTATGGCAGGGCTGTTGCCATTTTAGGCTAGGGCTGGTCAGCCTGGGGGAGCCTGGAAGGACCTCCTCTGTCCTAACCCAGGGCCATTTTCCTCTCCATTCCACTCCAGAGAATCCCAAATCCTCCCCATCTCACCTGCCATCGTCAAAGAACGTCACATATTCCAAGGCAGAGTTAAGGAAGGAAATATGGAATCCCGCATCTTCATTCAAGAGGTCACCAATCATGTCCACTGCCCCTCTGCTCAGATTTCCTTCTTTAATTAAGTATTCCTGTTTGGGGGAAACGGGTAGGAAAAGTTTTAAATGGGAATACAAATCCATACTTGGTCATTTTGAATCAATTTATCCTCAGCTCCTTTCTGCTTCACCCAAAGCAAGCAGGTGCTGCATCTAAACTTGCCTTGTGCCAATCCCCAGCAGGGTCACACCAGCTGAGGAGAGAACGCTGTGGGTCGACGCTTGCCTGCAAAGGGGTCCCACACACCGGTGGAGGGGAATGTGCGGGGGACTGGGGGGGCTTTGCTTTTTAAGAGCAAGCAAGTGCCCACTTTTCTTACCTTGGTAGAATACGAGTCATATTTCTCCTTCAGAATCGTGCAGTTCTTTGTGACCTGCACAGGAATCATAAAGAAAGGTGCTTCTTTCAAGCCAACAGAAATGCAGACCTCCATTAAATGACTATTCGGCGTTCAAACACGGGTCAGAGATGGCATCTCAGTGAAGGTTCCATGAACGCAGCTGCAACGCTGGCCTTGTACCCCGAACACACGCCCGTAAGGGCGTTTGAAATCAGACCCAGGGCCATGTGAAACAAGGCCAAGGGCTGCTGCATGAGGGTTACTTGTTCCTCACCCTGCATTATGCAAACCGTGACAGTCCAGAGTCAAAGAACGGTGAAACTGTTTCTGCGGCCCGGAGGCATTTTGGGCTTGTGTTTTCATAAACGGTGCCCTGCATCCATCATTGCTGACTTTTTGAAAATGATGAGAACCGGCGGCAACAGGGTAAACAATTGCGGCATCTAAGGCCACTTTGTGTATGTTGTGTTGCCAATAAGGAAACAATCTCCATGCAGAGAATGATGGGTTTGCTTTAATGTATGAAGTGGAGGACAAGTGTTACATGACTACTTAGCTGTAAAATCTTTAAAAGGCACATACCTTATCCAGTGTTCCCGCGTAGAGTTGATCAGCAGACTTTCCCCTTTCCTCTGGATTCACTTGATATCCAAACAGGTTGGCATTTGCATTCACAGTTCCTACCTTTTCCCTTCTATTTTTGATTAAATACCAGGCATTCTTATCCGTCTGGACAAATGGGTTTAATGTGAGGTTGAACTTCTTAAGGTATTCACGAATGATTCTGTGGGAGAGGGAGAATCGCAACAGGTGAGAGAGACAACCGTGCAAAACACAAGCCTGAACTCCATTTGGAGAAACTCTTTGGCCTCGTACAAGCAGTGGGCAGGGCCAGAGGCAAAGGGGGCAGGTCAAGGTGCCAAAAGCACGAGCAGATGGCCGCTTAAATTTCTTACTCTAGTAGCTAAGATGTAGGAGAAATATTTCAGCCTTTTGGGACAGTGAAAAAACTGCACCAAAGCTAGGAAGCCATCAAATGATGGGTTGTCAGAGGAAAGGGGCACTTCAAGGGAAGGGTCTATGGCCTTCTGGGGAACATGGCTGCACCCTAAGATCGGAGATTGTGCACCCTGGCTGAGGCCCTGTAAAGCTCAGGGTACCCACCTTCCCTCTCCATGAAATTGATCGTTTCTCTGCATAACTGGTGCAATGCCTTTTTCCTTACCTGTGTGTCTTGGGCAGACGCATAGGCCCCAAATCAATGTACCAGTCCTTCTCACGATACGTCTTAATCCTCCCCCCTACACGGTCACTGGCTTCCAAAACGTGTACCTAGGGTGCAAAAGAAAAGAAAAGAAAAGAAAAGAAAAGAAAAGAAAAGAAAAGAAAAGGACCTGTTTTTGCATTGTTCTGCCATACTTCCTTCCAGACTGCTGGAAGGAATTGTACACAAACAAACATAACCATTCATGATACAATGGCACAGTGCATTACTATACAGCACCAAGAAAGGGGTCATAACTCCATGACAAGAGGGCATCTCTGGTCCAGTCTCCAGCATCTCCCATTAAAGGGGTTAAACAGCGGGCAACTTGGAAGACCTGCTGTGGCTCCAGCCTTTTAAAACCACTGCCTCTGTTGTCAGAATGGTAATATAGGGCTACAGGGCTAGACAGACAAATAGCAGGACTGATACATGCCAGCTTCCTCTCTGTTCCTAAGGTCAATGCACAATGGGAAAGGGACTCTTTCCAAAGTTACAGATTCTTTTAAAGTTCCCATAAAAATGCATGTGAATTTTTATAGGTGCATTGTATACGTGTATACTTCACCTAATGCAAATACAAATGCATTTGCCAAGTTTTTTTTCCCAAGTGATTTTCCTAATATAAAGCATTTCTGAACATTGTTTTCACATGTGCAAACACACACACACACACACACATTTCCATGCACTTCTTAATATGTGAATTTCTGTATTGGAGAACTCCATTGCAAGATTTGAAGAAGTCCAAACTTCAAAGGTTGGCTAAATGTCAGTACATGCAATGGTTCAGAGGTGCAAAATTCAACCGCACCAAATTCTCCCCATCCCTGCAGCAGAGCGATGGTCTCCCATTATAGGCACTGGCGGAAGAGTTTTAAGGCATGTGTGGGTTTGCAGACACAGAAAATAGGCTTTACTAGCTGAGGTTATAAGGAGATATGAGGTTTCATCTCAGCCTAAGGGCAGCTCCAGGTAAAACATGAAATCATTGCATCACCTAATATTCCTGCTTCAGACAGGAAAGATTTGTTCCAGACTTTATGTTCGGATGATTAAATTGATTTGGGTCCCTGCCCGATGGCCTTCGAGTCACTCATCCAAGAACCCCAGGGCCTCTTTTCCCATTTTGGCCAACCCATGCCCCTGCCTTCGGGCCGGGCTCAGTCAACAGGGGCTCCACAGCGAGCAAGACCCCCAATTCCCGGCATGTTGTGCAAATCCCTCCAGTGCGTCAGTAAGTGCAGCTACCTGGTGTCCTGCATCTTTCAGCAGCTTGGCAGCTGTGAGTCCACTTATTCCTGCCCCAACTATCACCACCGTCTTTGGCGTCGAAGACTTTTCCAGTCCATTTCTGGCAATATTTAACAGATCCTCATAGTCCGGGTCATCGAAACACTTCATCCAGTCCTGCTTTTGGGCAGCATTCTGTGTGTAGGCCAAGGATGCCGCAAGCAGGAAGAACAGAAAACTCGCTAGAAGGAAGAAAAGTGGCTATTTAATAAGGAGGGTGGCGATCAAAAGATAAAGCAAGTGAAGAGTGAAAGCAATGGCTGGTTTTTTTGTTTGTTTGTTTGTTTTCACCTTTGATTTTGAAGCTATTTGGATTTTCTAGAAATCTTTTAGCTCGATTAAGAACTAGCCACTTAATGTTTGGCTGACCCCTAAGTGGATGGAGATTTGCAATTTTTCTGTCCAGCTAATTTGAAGAACTGGTGACAAACTGGCTGAAGAATTAGTCTATCCCTTTAAATCAATTTATCTTCTTCCCTTAACTGCTGTGACTACTGTTTCATTATTTTTGTTGTGAATTTTGATAAATCAGAGCAAAAAACAAACAAAAACCTATACAAATAAAATGAAATATGTATTACAGTTTTGTTACATAAAATTTTAATATGTCCATTACAGAAAATACATCTTTAATGTGTGCCCCTATATATTCAATTCAGAACAAGATACACTACTGTTCTTACATGCAGTTATGCAAAGCTGTTGTGAACTGCCCAGAGAGCTTCAGCTATTGGGTGGTATAGAAATGAGACTCCAAAACCGAGTGAATTTAGAAACTTCCACAATTTTTCTATATTCATCCATTTGTAGGTTACTCTAAAAGACCACCTGTTCAAAAATGGAACCCACTGTATTCTCAAAGGTGGCCATTCAGCCTTCCAATGTTCTCCCAGTCTGGACAAACCCTTATTTAAAAAGATACAGAAGTTCCTGCTGAAGGAGCCATAAGCTAAAATCCATTAACCCTCTGAAATAGATAACAACACAGCAATCGGTTGACTGGGCAAGGCACGACAACCCAGATTGCTTTTCCATTCATGCTGAAGGCCTTGTGGGTCACCATTTAGAAACCTGGATTGCTGGTCAATGTACCTGCTCAGCTTCAATCAATCTGTCCAATAGCAGAGGGGACTCTGAAGCTGCAAAAGCATTAGAGCTAAACCTTGATTCAAGCAAATGTTTCAACTGTGTGTCTTGCCATACCTGACCAGCATATCTAGTAAGCGGAGCAGAGCATGACAGAAACGTATCACTGCTGTGGCTGCTTTCCTTAACATTTACTCTGTGTCAACAGCCCAGTAGTTAATGTCCTTAGCACATCCATTTTATTTATTTAGAAAATCTCTAAGCTGCCTTTCACTGTCAAACCATAGGATGGTATAGAAAAATCATTACAGCCAATATAATATACCATTATTATATACAATTCAAAATGCAAGAAACTTTGGCTGATGAGCCTCCAGTGTTGGAGAGCATCCCTCTTCAAGAAGAACAAGATGAAGGCAATTCAAAATGGAGGCAAAGCAAGAAAACGATGAAGTGAAGGCGTTTGAGGGTAAGATTTTCCTTTCCCAAATGGGCATTGTGCCCTCCCCACCGCTAGCCTGGCCTCCTGGGACGAGGGGCAGAGGGACCCGGCAGTGGCCCTAATCCTGGTCAGTGTTGTGAGCCAGTCTCTCTTTGCCAACCTCTCTCCTATTAACTGCCTTCTAACTACAGCTTCTTATTCAGTTAAAGAGGGCCAGGCAGGCCTGGCTTTGTGATACAAAGAGAGTGATGTGGAAGTCATCAGCAAAAGACATTAATGTGCCAGCTAATTAGAGAAAGTGGACGGCTCAAGATAAAGAGTTGATTCCAATGTGAATCCCCCTCTTCCCTTGCTCCCCAACACAGTTAGCTCCATCCTCAGGGAGGTTCCCATTATCTAACTGGTTAGATCTCTTGACATGTCATTGAACAGCAGGAGTTATTAAGTGACATCTCTCTCATCTGGCCCTGCCCCTTCCACAGTGTCTCCCTTACCAGCCACTTCGATTACTTTAAGGCTTGCTTTTAGCTAAGAAGTCCAACCCTGCCTCTTCTTCCACTTTAGATAAAGAGTCTAAGGCATCCACCTTGGAAATCTGCATTGTGGGAGAAGTAGGTCCAGTCCCTCCAATCAGGGGGAGATGCTTGCTATATGCTTAGGAATAAAAGCTCCCATTCATCCACTGGAGTAGACCATATCAGGGTCATTGTTGTGCTATGGAATGGATTGTTGACCCCCTCTGCCCCTGGCAGGTCCTGATCAGAAAGAAAACTCATGGCCTCAAGAGCAAGCATGTAATATCGGCATTTAGAAGGATGTAACGAAGGTGGACCCAGGAAAAAAAATCACATCACATGGTTAATTATAAGCCACTTCAGGGGGCACTCTTCAGGCTGAAAGGTCACTGATAAATGTATAAGATTAATGAATTAATTAATATAGGAGCAAGGAAGATACAACAGATCCATCCAATCCCTTCACTTCAGAATGGATATCAAGTATCCCCAACGCAGGTTTCACCAGGTGTTGGGGTTTGGTTTCTGTTTTGGTAGAACTTCCATAAAATGGTATCTGATCATGTTCCCAGCCTGCTCACCCCATCACGACTAATTTAACAAAACAACTTCTTCCACTGCTACTACACCTACCACCAACAAAAGTGATACACACTATTAAGATTAGAACAAACACACTTACGAAGTTCACAGACATAAACCGATGTCCCAAAGGACACAAGTCTCCTGAAATGTCAAGGAGAAGCCTGTTTCAGTGAGAAAAATAATGAGCTACTTACAGAACCGCTTCATGGTCTGATGGTCAATGTAAGGGTGCAAGTGCAAAGCCTTATTTTATAGCCAGAATGGGGCTGACTCAGGGACTCAGGGCTGGGGAAACCCGGCTTTCTCAACTGAGGCCGTGTCAGTGGCCAACCTCTCCTAAGGCAGTGCCCACATGTCCTACCTAGCTGGGACAGGTCACTCGAAGCAGAGTTGCACATGGTGTCCTAATGCAACCAAGGTGCATGGCACAACACAGTGATTGAGTAGTTCTCTAGCATCTAAAAATACTTTTTTAGCATTCAGGGGTAAACAATGCCCAGAGCCATGGGTGAAATGCTTCACAGGGAGGCCAGAAAGATCTCATCTTCTGCTCGGTTGCTTTTCTGGAATTGAGACATTCAATATAAGCCTTTCATATGGGCTTATTAAAAGACTGGCAGGAAGTGGGAAAGACTGATTCCTTGTCAAGATAGTCAAAGCCAGTCTGTCCACAAATCACTGGAAAGGAAGTGTCAGATGCTATTACTTAACTTGCTCTGAAGCACCTGTCTTGCAACACTGATTTTTGCTTGTCAATTAGAATAGACTGAGATTAGATTAAAGAAAGGACAGGTTTCAAAATATTTAAAACATGAATGCATAAACCATTAAAACTGTTAAATTAACATATTGCCTATTAGCTTTACTATAGCAGTCAAATACCAGTTAGAATCATGACAGACAGTTAGAAAAGCCTGAAAATTGCTCCATCCAATGTTTTGGGACTGAACATTTCTTACCTATTTCCATACATACATTCATTGACGCCAACATGTACAACATTCTGTACAGGTTGTTACATTCCAGCAGGTCATCTCCAACTTGTGCTCGCCCTATGAGAGAAAGCCCCCCAGGATGGCCTGTCTTTCACAGCCCTGCTCGGCTGTTGTAAGCTCCAAGATGTGGCTTCCTTCACAGAACTGGGCTATCATATATACCCCACTATCTTAGGATTTAATTAGGGTACAATCCAGTGGGGATGTCCATAACCCCACAAACCTGGAATTGTATGAGCATCCAATGGAACGCAGGTGGTCTCTTCACTCCACTTGTCCTCAAAAACATGAAGATGCCCAATTTTGGCTGTCCGAACACTTTACCTCCCATCAAAAGAAGGAAAGGCTGAGGCAGCAGCTGGATTTGGTGGACAATAGCAGTGCCCTGCTTTTTCTCTCCCCTTTAGTGCTTGCCTTCAGGGACATAGAAACATAGAAACAGAGAGAGTCAGAAGGGGTCTCCTGGGCCATCTAGTCTGACCTCCAGCACCAGCCGGCTCCGCTCACGACATGCCCACCATGTGCATGTCCAGCCTATCTTGAAAAGAAGTAGGTAAGAAAATGAAAAGAACTAGACTGGCTGTGAGGACAGGAGTCCCCCTTCAAAGATGGAGTCCATGCTGTGATCTCAGAAAGCTTTTAAAGGTCACAGCAGGGATTCTGCTTGTTTCCTTACATTTCTCTCTCTCTGTGATATGATTTAAAGCTATCTAGCTTAAACACCGTATAAAAGAATCACGCACAGGCACAGGCACCCATACACGCACACGCACAAAATCAATACAAAATTCACAAAACATGAGATGCCAAATAATAATGGATTCAAATGCAGCATGTATGAGATACGTGGAAATGACCTGATTTTCACATTTTGTTGAGCCCTGGCGTAGTTTGTTGAATTCTGGCTGGTGCCTGAACCCTTTCCAACAAGCAATGTATGATTCCTTAATCAGTTCTAAGCCACAAACCAGAGTCATGGCTTATTGGGGGCGGCGGGGGGGGGGGGGGAGCAGTTAAACAAACTGTTTAAAGTATAGCTTGCTCTAATGTCTGAATGCAGAGCTGTGGCTTATTCCTAGCCTGTTTGCAAAAGCAACCCATCCAGGATGAGCTACAACAGTTAGAAACTGTAATCACTGCAAAGGCTGGAAAATGAACCAGAAAAAAATAAAAATAAAGCAGAAACAAGGAAAAGACACATAATTTATCATAATCAGTGGTGCTAGGGCTCCATTTTATTGTTTTTAAATTGCTTTTATTGTTATTGTAACTCAGTTGGCTTTGAATAATGAATCCAAGGCACAATCCAAGGGGGTGCCTACAAGCTGCCAAGCTCACGGGACCACAGGATTCCTATGTGGGGTGGGAGCAGCACAGAGGGGGCTTCACCACCCACTCTGCAGTTCAGCTGCACGGCCCGTTTTGGCCCTCTAGTTAGGATCCCTCAGGGAGGCTGGAGAGCAGGCAGGGGACATCACGTCCGGGGGATCCTAGTCTCCTCCCTGCCTCCCAGAACGCCCTTTCCTTTCTCTATCTCAGAGAAACAAGCAGAAGAGCGTGGATCCCCCGCTCTGAAGCTGGAGCGCTGCGCAATCAGAGAATCTGAAGTATCCTGGTGCCCCCTGGAGAACACGGAGCGATTCCGCGCCATGGCCTACGTCGTGAGTCCTCAAACTACAGCCCGCCGGCCATGTCCAGCCCGCAATGCCCATTTATCCGGCCCGCCTCGGAGCTTTCGGACTTGCCCAGCGCTGCCCGCCTCGCCCCGCGTGCGCCCGCCGCCCTCGCTGTGCGCTTGCTCGCGCGGAGCCCGTTTCGGACTTGCTCGGAGAAGCGCCCTCCGAACAGCAAGCCGCGGCCTCCTCGCCACGTGCCCCCGCCTCGCCTCCGCTCGCCGCGCGCATGTCCGCCCCCCCCCCCCCGCTGGCACCGCCTTGCCGGCCCATGCCCACCAGCGGGACCTCTCAACTGGCCGCCTGCTGGAAAAGGTTGAGGACCCCTGGCCTAGGTAAGCCACCCGGGGCAGAGGGTTGCCCGCTTATGCATTACCAAGAAAGAGAGCGCGCGTCTTTGGAAAGAACACAGATCTGTACGAAACATGGATGCGCTGATTTATTTTCCTAATATTTTAACAAATTTATTTATTTATTCGGGATGTTCCTAACCCATCCGATCACTCTGCGTCTCTGGACGGCTTACAAACAAAGGCAATAAAAACAAGAATAAAAAATGGTTTTATCTTTGATT